GAGTTTTGGGTACTTGTGGGTGTTGTTGGGTTTTCCTGGGATGTTAGTGGTGGGGACTGGTGTGGGGGTTGTTGATTAGCACTTTTGAAAAATTTTTAAGAGTGGAACTTTTTTGATGAAAATTTATGTTTATTCCAATATTCTCCTGTAAAAAGAAATAAAAGAATGGTGGCTAATACGAATGTGAAGATTGCCTTTTTAAAAAAATTTACATATTGTCAGAATGAGTGATGTTAAAACTGTGAGAGAAATTACAAATAATAGAAAAACTTTTGTTCTACTAAATAGATTGCGAAACATTTAAATAGTTATTAAATTATCGTACTTGAGGAGATTTTCAAGGATTGTGGAAAGGGGTATATATACTTTGAAGATTGAGTAAAAGTTTAGAAAAGGTTGCAAAAGATTTTGAAAAGGATGAATAGGGTTTCTGTGATATCAGTTAAAAATATTATAAAAATTTTGAGAAGGTTTGAAAGTTCAAGTTATAGGCTAAGAGGTGAATATGTGTCGACCAATAAGGTCGTATTGCTATAAATAAAGTGTCTTATTCATTATGATTTCTATTGGCTGATTTTGAACTAGATTTGTTCGACTGTTTTTCAGCATGTTATTTTGAAAATGTCTATTGTTCAAAATAAGTAAAAGAAGATGATGGAAATTGAAAATGAAAGTTATTTTTTGAACCCAACTTTCTTCAATATTTTAGATTGTGGAATGAAGGTTTTATAATTTTTTCGTGGTTGACTTCTAAGTCGTGATAATTCTCTATGTTCAGATTTTTCTTTTTGATCCTGTGGTAGAATTTTTTCTGTCATTTTTCAATTTTTTCTTTCTTTTTGAGATGTTCGTGTTTTTTGTTTAGGGGATGTTTGGTGAACAATTTTTTTTTGTTGATCCATTTTTGAGCTCGTTTGTTCATCAGTGTGATGATTTAATTTAGTTTCTGAATTGTTTTGAACAATTTTTAAACCTGTTAAAGAATATAATATTGTTAATTCACGGAGTGCATATTCTTTTGGGTAATAGGGTAAAAGGTTATTTCGGTGTTGAATGATTTCTTTTTCAATTGTGTCAATCAATTCGTATGTGACATCAGTGGGTTTCTCAATTATTTTGTATGGTCCTTTACGGAGTGGTGGTAAATTTTTAGAAGTTCTTTTTTGTGTTGTGAAATTGGGAATTAAAACAAATGTTCCTATTTTTAAGTCTCTTGCTGGTGTAAAACATGAATTGATTTGGGTATTTATGTTTTGTCTTTGTAGCAATTTTCTTAAATATTTTTTGATAAATTTCATTGTGTTTTTATCTCTATTTAAAATCCATTCAGCGTGGGTACCGGAAGCTAAATTTAAAATTTGTGGATGATGAAAGTGGTCTTCATCATGGGTATGTAGTGGTAGGTTATAACAAATTGAATCTTTGTTTGGTTGACAATAACCTTGTGCATTTTTGTGGGCGTATTGGTTTACGTGGTTTTAGTTAAATACCATTTCATATGGTGACATTCCTAGTGTTGTTGTGATTTATGAATTAAATGAGAGTGGAAATAATTTTACATCTGTTGACCATTCAGTATATCGGGTATCATTTCCATTAATGATACATCTGAGGTATTCTTGTAGTGAACGGTTCAAGCCTTCAAATAATCCTTTTGTCCAAGGTGCATGAAACGTAGCTGGTTTGTGTTTAATATTATATAAGTGGCATAATGTGATGATTTCATTATTAATAAATTCAGTGCCACTGTCTGTGACTATGATTTCGGGTAATCCGAATTTAGCTATACAGTGTTCGTATATGCATTATAAGCCTTACAATGGGGTACTGGGTTAAGTGCTACATAATGTGTACATGCATCAACAATTACCATTCTATAGGGGTTTCCTTCTGAGGATGGTGAAATTGGTCTTTTCGTGTCAAATGATGTTCTGTGATTAAAATAAAGACTTTGTCCTTTAAAATCTCGATTTTCTGAGATTTGTTTTTGATTTGGATAGGGTTTATTCAATTGGCATATTATACCATCGTTGCAGAATACTTTGATCCAATTTGGTGCATTGGGGAAATAAAACTTTTGTATAAAATTAGATTATGTTTTTTTTTATCCGGAATGTCCTTTTGTATTTAAGGTGTGTGAAGTTTTGAATGCTATCAACATCGTACTTAAAGGTAGACATGGTACTTTAAAATCAGGTGTTTGATATTATAAAATGTCTGTGTTTTCATTTATAGTGGTGTTATTGAATTTTCTGAAGTATTTAAGGAGTGTTTTGTTTCCTAAGATTGTGGTATCAGCTTTCATTGGTTTAGTTTTATATTTGTGCCATGATTTGAGTTGTCTAATGACGGGATCAAGGTTTTGATTTTTCTGTAATAATTCTAGTATAATTTTTTCTGTTGTTGGTAGAAAAATATTTTCTATTTCGATTTTTGATAGGGGTATGGTGTCAAGTGGGTCATGGAGATTAAAAACTTGATTTATCGTGTTTTTTGAATCATTTGGTAACGGTCCTGGTAAATTTAATGTATCAGTCAGATTTTCCTTTACATTAAAGGAAATGGCTCCTTTTTATGTGGTTGTTGTTTAATTCTTTTTTGTTGAGTATTTTTTTTGATCCAATGCGAATATGGTATTGGCTTGAATAAATCAACTTCATAATGGTTGTTTTGACAATCTAAATAGAGTGGAAAATGTTGTAGATGATTAATTTGTGATTGTTCTATGTCAGTTTATATTGCGTATTTACATTCTAGTCGTGGTGATGTTTCATCTTTGGCGAGATAAAATTCTATATTTTATTGTATATCAATTGTCGTTTTACTTGTTAATAGTTCAAGTGGTGTATTTCTACTGAGGGTATCAGGTAGTGCAAGGTTTTTTCCTGCTGTGCATACTATGTGTAAGTTTGGAATCTCTATAGTTTGGATTTGATTTTTGGGTAAAAAGAAATATGATAGGTCTATGGTCTGCAAATAAAACTGTTGGATGTTTGGATCCAAGTGTCAAAAATTCAAATTCTGTTAAAGTATATATAATTACTGTGCATTCTCGCATAAGAGTAGAGAGTCGTAATTCAGCTTGTGTAAATAGGCGAAAGTTTTCTGATATAAGATTCATTTTATTTGTCCCATTGTGGGATTGTTATAATGCTGCTCCGATGCCAAAATTTGATGCATCCCACATTGCATAAAATGGTTGATTTGGATCTGGGATTGTGTTTAAAACTTGTTCAGTGAGAAATTTTCTGATTTCTTCAAATCGTGTTTGATGCTCTGTTGTCCATTCAAAGTTATTTTGTTGTCTAAGAGTGCTATAAAATGGTCTTAAGTATAATTGCACACTATATACGTATTTACTTAAGAAATTTAACATTCCGAGAAATTCTTGGATTTTTTTTAATTGTTGTGGTTAGAGTTTTTGAATTGCATCAATTCGTGACTTCAGTGGGGTTATAGTGTCTTTTTCTATGATGTGTCCAAGAAATTATACGCAAATTAAAAAAAGTGATTTAACTGGGGCTGCTTTCATGTTTTCGTTCTCTAGAATTTGATGATAATTTTCTAGAACTATGAACATTTCATCTTTTGTTTGTGACTGCATAAAAACATCGTCTATGTATGTAATTGCAATTTTACTAAGTATGAGTGGTCGAAAGATTTTACTCATGGAGGCTGAGAAAGCTGCTGGTCCTATGGATATGCCATAGAATAATCTGTTAAACTCGTATAAACGATTCTAAGTAAAAACTTAGAAAATACTTAATGAGCGTTCAATTTCGCTTTCAATTATTCATAATTGTCCCTCGAATAGCTGACCTTATAACTTTCTAGTTTTATGACCAATTCAAGGTACAAAAATTTCAAAGTACACTTTTCGAGTTTATTGTTCCAACATTTGAAGAAAACGGAATACTTATGCTCAGTGTGGTCTTTTTTCAGTCAATTTTTGCCGATCGAAATAATAGTTTTCAATAAACATTTGTTTATATCACATTGAAGATATCGACCTCCTAAGTTCAAATATAAAAAAAAATACTTTACCTCTGATTAATTTTTGTAAAGTTCTGGGGGTTTGAAATTTGCCAAATTTGCCATGTACTGGACTAAATTATGCGCGCTTTGATGAATTTATTCATATTGCTAGGAGCTTAACGCGAAATATTTACGCGTGGCGAATTATCCCGCACAAAATTATTCCAAGTTGGATTGCGGCTAGTTAATTGGATCGATCAAAATAATTTTGTACGACTCAACATATCACTCTTTGATATTGTCCAAAATTTATAGGTTTTCAAAATTTTCATTTCCCAAAAACTATTCGATATGAATAAAGGGACAGTCGGACCACTCAGGGCTTTTCGAAGCTTTCAAAACCACTTGAAACTTAATACACACTTTTAGGTAGCTTGTTTGAAAAAAATGCTATAACTTGCCAGAAGCTTTGATCGATATAAAAATTTTGTGAATAATTTCATTTCAGCCTTCAATTAAGTTATTTAAAAAATAAAAGTTTTGTGAGTTCTCCAACTTTTCTGTACGTCCATTTCTGTCAACATTGAATATGTGGCCGGGAAATTTAAAATTACTAATTTTGTCGAGACTAAAACCTCTTTTACAAACTTTTGTGAAACCAAATCACAGCTGAAATGTCTTTTATTTGGTACCTACTTGACCCCTTATGAGCCTTTATGAGATCTCTTTGAATCACAAAATCCGTTGGCGGGAAAATAACCAACACCACATTTCCTTCCCTCTTCGTATGGGGGTCGGAACAAAGACATTTCTTTTGGCTACTGTACATAAAATTGTTCTGCTCATTTTGGTTACTCTATACTTCGGTTGATTTGTTCCCTTTCACTAAATTATTTAACCCAACTCGTATTCAGTGGATGTTTCGTTAGAGTTTCTGGCCTTTACATGAGACAGGAGAGGGGGGTGAGGGAATGGGAGGGGACTGATAGGAGAAGAGGAGATAGGGGAGGGGTTTGTGTACTGACCTGGGTATACCCATCGTGTCACACCAAGTGAATCGGGTGAAGTCCACATTCTTCGCTAATTCGGGAACTTCGTCCATTGTTGAATGATTTTTTCTTATTTTAACTGAACAGAATAATTCAGATAAATGTATAAATAGAGACAAATGGATGGCAAATATAGGTAACGTTGAAAAACAAAAACGTAAATCCTTCTTAGTTAAATACGTGAAAACTTGGTTTTCGAATCAATTTGGGTTTTTGAAACGATCAACTTCAATAAATTTATTGCTAATGGTTTGTAGAAAAACGTTGGAACAGACAGAAACTATATTAGAAAGGACAATCTGCTAGTTTGTGCATGCAATTTTGAGTTATGGGTTGTGACGGATGGTCTAATTCATAAAGTACACCATCTGCTCGCCACGCTATCTTATTTTCGGCCGGAGAGATTCGTGCAACTTCTTAGTCAAATACCGATCTTAATCTTACTCTTATATGTCTTAGTCTCAATAGATCTAGAGTATACTGGTTTGATACGAGTCGGTCTCTTGGAGAAAGCAACTAGGTTGTAAGTTAAACTCAAAATGCTCTGGTGCTGAAATTACAAGTAATTTCAGCACTTACCAATAAATGGGTTGTTAGTTAGATGGAGTATGACTGGTTAGTCTTCAATATTTTATAGGGATAAAATACCTAATTTAAAACCAATAATATTATATATAGTTTGGATCAGGTTCCACCCATCCGGGGTTTACAGAGTTTTTGTTTCTTTGACTTATTTCTGTAATGGAGGATGGATGATTGATCGTTCGTATTTCGCGAGCATCATTTCTATTCCATTCTTGGGGGAAGAAGCTCCAGGAAACTGGAATCGTAGATTTCATTTTGTCATTCAACGATGACTGAGACCGTCAACAAAATCAATCTGATTTCAAGATGGTTTGTTATGATCGTCTGTACATGGAAAACTATGTTTCGATCTGAATTGGGAATGGCGTGAAGCTCGAGTTTGGAGGGAATGCCCTGTAACTCGGATCTGTACCTATACTTGAACATCGAGGTGGTCATTGGTCTGTTTCAATGAAGCCCTTTGCTTCAGAGTCAAGCCGTACTTCAAATCCTTTGAGTTGTGGTTGTGAGCGGCATATGGGTTGTGTTCAGCCATTCTATAGGTTGTGTGTGATGAGGTCGTCTTAGCTGCTTGATGCTCGTTTTCGTGATTGTGTATGATCCATATTACTGCAAAATATAATTTACATAAATAAATGTTCAGTTAGTCCTTCTTTTTAGTTATGATTTTTTATTAGTTTTTAGCGCAAAATCTTTTAATTTTAGTTCAGTTATTTTAAAAGAGTTACTCACACTTGAGTACCTCTTATCAAAAATAAGGAGTGTGTCACAAAGCGTGAATTCTAGCACGGTGGGTTAGGCCGGCTATTAAGCATGCTCAGGACGTCGTCCTCTTCTGGTGGGTTAGGCCAGGAGTGAGGGTTTGATTTCATGCTGGTTTTTTATGGGGTCCTGTTTTGTATTAACCTTTTGTGTCGCGTTTGTTTCTGGTTTTTTCCAATTTTTGTTTTAGTTGTGTCCTTTTCTTAAAAATCAAATTGTTTGGTTTGGGTTTTTCTTTCGACTTTTTGGTGTTTCGGCTTTCTTTTTTAGACTTATCAATAGTCTTCAAAAAAATAAACTATCAGTTCTTTAATCTAGTTTAATCCAGTTTGGATACTGTGGGTTTTCTTTTCTTAGTCATGCTGTTAGTTTGTGTTTTATGGTGTTTAGTAAGCTGCGTTGGTTAATTGGGATTATTATATAATTCCTTTCCGACCAGGTTAAAAGAAAGTTTGAAACCTGTTATTATTAGTTTGAGTTGTTATCAGTGAAAGTTAAAACTTGAAATCAATAATTTAAACAAATCGTCGTGGGCGAGCTGTGTTAGTACTGCTGACATTTGTAAAAATTCACTGCTGAAAAGTTTAAATATACTGCATTGTGGGGATTGAAATTATTGAATTATTTTCAGTGTATTTAGATTTACCCCATTGGGAAAAAGAATTTATAGATGAATTTACTGCTGTAGAGAATAATTTTTTTTTGCGTCATTTATTGCGGTTAGTTAAGAAAAGTTTATGAATTAAAAAATAGTTTGCTATTTGAAAAGATTATAATGTATAAAAGAGTTTGCAATTTTTATTTCTGTTTTCTGTTTTCTTGTTTATAAATGATGGTGATCTAAAGACTAATGAAGAAACATTTAATAAGAAATGGTTAGTCTGTTTTGAGATTATTAGTGTTAAATTATTTAATTTGTACTTACCTAATTATCGGGGAAGAAGCCATGAGGGAAGATATCGTGTATTGAATCTGATGTGGTTAGTTACACTGCTAATAGGCGAATGATATTTTTAGTTTCAAGTAGTGGCCATAGCAATTGAAGTGCTTTTATGGTGTTTAGTTCTTCAGTGCCAACGGAATACTCGTGATTGCTGTGCTGGATGAGGTTAAGAAGCTTGTGATTATATTTAGTATTGTGAATGAAGTCTAATATTGGGATTTCTATAGGTTGAATATATTCATGCGGGATAATGAGGGGTCGGGATTCTTCTACATTAAAGGTATTGGTGAGTGGACAAAATATATACAATTGGTTTATTGGGTCGTAATTTCTGAGGATGCCTTAGAAGTTAGTGTTTTTAATACAGTATGTGAAATTTAAGAAAAATGGTGAAGTGTTCTTTGAATTAATAATTTGAAAATGATGGTGGGGTTGTCGTGAAGGTGTGTGTAAATTAAAATGATTTTGAATGAATCCATAATATGTGTAAGTTTGTTTAGTTCGTAACATGATGTCGTATGAACAGTGCAGATCTCGATCTTTTGGAGTGAGGAAGTGAAAGGTTTGTGAAAAAGTTTGAGTTTATCGTAAAATGATTCATAGGCTTGGATGTCGATTAGTGCTTCGGAAATGATGTGGTCGTGTTTTTTATTTAGTGAGCTTAGTGTAAAGATGCAGGGTGTTTGGATGAAAAATTTTTCGGTTAGTTGTGGGTTAGCGAACTTATCTTCGTCGAGAAGTTGATCTTGATTAGGTCTGATAATGTTGTGATCATAGTATTCAATAGAATAATCATTAGCTCGGGGTGCAGTGAAAATTTTTAGTAGTTTTTTATATCCTACGTGCGTAAATTGTCTAGGTGTTAGTGCTGTGGTTAGTCTAAAAAGGTCAAGTTTACTTTTTTTTCTATTTCGTGAGGTGTGTTATTTAGTGGTATACAAAGTGGATTTGAGAACTAATAAAATGATGCCCAGTGAAGTGTGTATATTAGTACATGCTCATCGACATAGTAGGGTTGTTCAGTGTGAGGGTTGGAATGACTAATGGTATATTGGGGGAAGAGGGGTAGGGAATTTTGGAGAAAGTCTGGAGTATTAGTGTGGTCAGGGTGGTTTAAATAATCGCGGGTTGTTCCGGGTTTGGAGGGAAACGGGTGGTTAGGAATTTTTCTTTTGAATGTTTTATATGCACGGTTAGTAGTGGATGATGAATGGGTTGATGTTGAGGATTGAGCTAAAGAAGGGGTATAATTTGAAGAGGGTGTAGGAGTTGGTGAAATTGATGATGTTATGTTTGATGATAATTGGTGAATGGATAGAGTGTGAGGACGTTGTATTTGTTGTTGGAGTGTTATTAGATTATCTAGTTCTTCTGAAATTTGTGTGGTTTCTGGGGAATTGTTGTTGGAACGGTCATTGGTAAAGGGGGAGTATGTCGGGGTTGCTTGGGAAATATGAGAAACGGTAGAGGGGGAATCATTTTTGGACTTGGAGTGAATGGGTCGAAAGGTGGGTTGGGAAAATGTTGATGGGCTGGGTTCGGAGTTTGCAAATTTGTCTGTGGTTTCGATGTCTGAGTTATTAAATTGGGAAATTGTATTAAAAACGGTGATGTCTGAATTAGTGTCAAAATCCATGCCGGATGATGGGTTAAGGTGGGGTGATTCAAGTGGCGGGAAAGCAAAAATTGGGATGATGGGAATTGGGTTTTGGAGGTTGGCTGGATGGGAAATGGAACGGTGAAGGGATCCAACTTGTCGACTCATCGTGGGCTAAAAAAAATGATTGTTCTGAGATTGAAAATTTGTGGTATGTGGTTGTTTGAATATTTGTTCATATGTAATGTATCGTCGTTTTGAGGTTGTTGTGTTACAATGTGTTGAATTGGACTTTGTAGATGATTTGGTCTTGAATTTGCGATGTTTACTTGTGCTAAGTTTCTGAAGTTTCGTGGTACTAGTGATATTGGATGGTTACGATTTAAACTAGGTAGTTGTGGTGCTTTAGGTAATGTATTTGTGTTATTCTGTGATTCGTCATATGTGTTTGGTGTAGTTGATAATTTTGTATTGTTTTCTTTTATTTGTGCATCTAAAAAAAATTTATTTATAGATGTGGAAAATTTTCCGAAAAATCCTGCAAAAAGTATGCGTGCTACGCTTGGTTGTCTATTGACTTGTGTGTGGATTGCATATGTGTTATAAATTCCTTTTAATAAAGAAAAAATAAATCCAATAAAATTAAACATTGCGTATAATATAGTCAATCTTTCTAAGATATAATATGGCCATCCTAGAAAAGCTAAAAGTTCGTTTTTGAAATGTACAAAACTAAAAACATTGATTGGTGAGATATCGTGTGGTCGTTATTGTAAGTAGATAAATACTATCTACTGACACCATATCCATCATTAATGTCACCACTAAAACAGTTTTCACCCGAAAGCATTAGAGCTACAGCCCGAAACCCAAATATCGATTTACAATCGATAGGCATCTATTCCACATATGCACACAACAATTTCAAGAACTACTTACAAAAATGGACACTATACAACGACAATCAATAGATCAAAACTTACGAAAACTTGCAGAAACAGCAGGAGGTTCAGACATTTACGTACAAGATTACAGCGGATATTTTAAAGACATAAAAGATTATATTCATCTAGATTATTTTCATCATGATATATTCATCTAATATCATCTAATTGCATCAATTCGTGATTTCAGTGGGGTTATAGTGCCTTTTTCTGTGATATGTCCAAGAAATTTTAGGCAAGTTAAAAAAATATGATTTATCTGGGGCTGATTTCATGTTTTCGTTCTCTAGAATTTGATGATAGTTTTCTAGAACTATGAACATTTCATCTTTTGTTTGTGACTGCATAAAAATATCGTCTATGTATGTGATTGCATCTTTAATAAGTATGAGTGGTCGAAAGATTTTACTCATGAAGGCTGAGAAAGCTGCTGGTCCTATGGATATGCCATAGAATAATCTGTTAAACTCGTATATTTGATTTCCAATAACGAATTGTGTTAATCGTCGTGACTGTTCATCTAGTGGCATTTGGTTATATGCACTATTCATGTCTGCGGTTGTGAAATATTTACCGTTTATTTGTTCTAGAATGTCAAGTAGTCCATTGACTTTATCATGTAAATGAATTGGTACTTTACTTGCTTTTTAATTTTTTAAAACTGCGTCAGGCTTCAAGGGCAAATGTAGTGGTGATTTTTTTCTTTCAACGTCAAATTTAGATGTTGCATAAACTGTTGGGTATCTTAAAAGTAAGTCGGCTAATTTTTCAAATTCATTCTGTGTGTTTTAAGATTGTTGAAAATTGAACATTGTCGAGAATTTTTATCGGTGTTCTGTATATTGTGATGTTTTGAATGTTGGTTTAAAATAAGGTGTTTTTGTGAAAAGTCGGTGTTCCTTTTTTGATTGCTTATTATATTGTCCATTGATAATTCTTCATCAAGAAATGTTGATTGACATATGTCTAGTAGTTCTAATATATAATTGACTCGGTATGCTACTTTTTTGCGGGGGAAGTTTTTGCATTAGTTTCACAATATCCTAAGAGTCCTAAAGGTTAGGTGATTTTGTATAGTGAATTATTATTTACGTGTAGAGAAATAATATCGGAATTTGAGTTTTACGTGTAGTTTATGGATGATATTGTTACTCTAAAAAATTTGTGAATTGGTCTAAACTCAAATTCTGACAAATAGAATTTCGTAAATATAACCTGAGAGTGGTTTGAGATGTTTTCTTTCTTTATTATAGATGAGGTAAAATTTTGAAAAGAAGGGTGTTTGTTTGTTCATTCTTTGGAAAAATGTTAAAGCGGTGTTTTGCATTTTTGTATATTTATCTTTTATATTAATTTCACTATCTAATTTATTAATAGTTGGTGTGTACTTTGTGATGAATGGAAATCCAATAATATTGTGTTTCATATTTGTGATATGGAATATTTTTTTAAATGGTTTATTGAGAAGTTTATTTTGTTCCATTGATTTAGTGGGAACAAGGAAAAATTGAATTTTTCTATAATTTGTTATGGTTGAGCCATGTGCTGTCGCTAATCTACTTGTTGTTTTTACGGGTGTTAGTCTCGGGTGTAGAGTTTTGATTTCATCCCAAGTAGGAATATTGATGAAATTTAATTTTGCTCCAGAGTCTATTAAAAAGTTTATTTCAAGGTCTGGTGGTTGAAATTCTTTACTTTTTGGACTTTCTAAAAGAAAGGGGATTGTCCAAGTTTTTGCTTTTGGTGGTTCTTTTGGTATTTTCTGGTAAATGTGATTTGTACTAGAACATGGTGTTTGTTCTTTTTCAGATTGTTGTGATGTTGTTACTAATTTTACTATTTGTTCTATTGGTATGTTATTACTTCTAGGTCTAGTATGATAATTTAAAAGTAATTCCAAATAAATTTCGTAAATATGTGAATGAAAAGGTTGCTCGTATGTAACAGTTTCATAATCATTTTCAACTTTTATCAAGTTGACTAAAAGTGTGTTTTCTATATCACTTTCCTAAGTTTGGATTCCTGTGTTGTGAATTTTCTCGTGATCTATTTTGATAATTGTTATAATTAGATCTTCGGTGACTTGATCTAGTGTTTGAATAATCTCGTGATCGATTGTTATATTGTTGATTTCGATTATTTGAATAACTTCTGTTTCTATTGTTGGAATAATTTCTGTGTCTCTTGTATGATGAGTTTCTTGATCTATCATTTGAATAGTGTCTATTCCTAGGATGCGAATTGGAACTGGTATCAGAAGAATAATTCTGTCTATTTGAGTGTGATCGTGAATATTTAATCGTGTTTTTGTTTGGTAAATTTAACCTTTTTTCATATACTGATAAAATAATTTATTTGGTTCTTTGTACTTTTGTGGTTAATTTTGATTTTCTTGCTGTTTTTGTCTGCATTCAGCAATGCTGTGTCCGTATCTTCGGCAATAGTTACACCACTTTTTAAATGATGGTTTGTCTTTAAAATTTGGGTTTTTCTCATATATTTTGAGAATTTCAGTGATTTTTTGGGATAAATCTGTATCTGAATTATGTATATTATTTATTTGTGTTGTTCTTTTTTGAATATTATTAACGTACTGTAATTTGAGATTATCTGTCTCTTCTAGTTTCATAGTGATTTCTGCTTGTTCTAGTTTTTCTACTAGTTTTCTGAAATCTAGATCTGGTTCTCGAATTGAGGAAGGATGTGATGCTCTCTTTTTAATTGCTATTTTTCGTAATTGAGGTCTTAGAGTCATCATTAAAATTTCTGTCATTTTTGTGTTTTTTTAATCATGAGTGTTTAGTGAGTATGCTTTTCGGACTAGTGTTTCGATCTGCTTGTTGTTTGATCGTTTCATTTGGTAGTCTACAAAATTCATTGCAAAAAACTCTTTGATGCTGTTTGTTCTTTTCTGAATCAAACATTTTTGGAAATTTTTGTGTGAATCTTTTCCAATCTGATTTTATTTCTATAGGTAAAACTGAAAACGATTTTTGAGCTGCGCCATCAAGTGTGGTTTGTTTTAACGCTGTGCTTCTATGTATCCAATTGTGGTGAAGTGGCGTATTTATGGGTTCAGGTCCTATGTTCAAAATAAACTTGCTGTGACTGCATTTAAATTATCTTCTACAGAATATTCAGGATCTGTGCCGGTGAATACCATCAATGTTTGTTTGATTTTATTGATGATCCACCCATGAGGTATGGATTCATAGTCATCTGTAGTGATTCTGTGGCATTTGGCATTTGTGAAAAATTTGTAAGTTGACTTTTTGTGATTTCGTTTTGTTGTAAATAATAGGGTAGTGGGATTTCATTTTGCATTTGTGTTGGTTGATAATAATCTGTGTTAACTGGGTTCTGTATTTGTATTGGTTGATATGATTGTGTATAGGTTGGTTTTTGCGTTTGCAATGGTTGGTGATTTTGTGTATTAGCTAGGTTTTGTGAGTAAAAAATTTGTATTTTGGGATGCTTGATTTGGTCGAGGTGGTTTTACACGGTATTCTTGGGTATATGGTGCAAAAATATTGCTGTGATGATGTTCGTGTTTAGTTTTTGATGATGTTAGTGGTTTTATGATTTGCTTGTTATGTTTAGGTGATGAAGCTAAGATGAAGAGATGATTTATATATTACGAACAATTTGTGTATTTACTAACTAGTTTTTTGTTTTTTATTTCAATAAACATTTTTTGTAGATATCTTTTTCAAAATTAATGCAGATTAAAGGAAACGACTAGTGATGTTTTTATCAGTCGTTATTGTACAATAATAAGGTTAGCGCCTGTAATTATTGATGAAAATCTTTCTTCAGTGATACTATGTCTGCAAATGAAGCTAAGTTTATTGCTAATAAAACTCTAAATGAAAAAGTTTGTATTAGCTTTTGCCGTACGACCATGAAACTTATGGATAAGTTCCGTTGTAGTCGTATATCGTCTCTTGTCCGAGATCTTCTCCCAATACCGGGGAGTTCTAGTTTTGTTCGGAATAATGGCTCTGATCTTTTGAGTCGTAGAGACATTTCAATTAAATTATTTATCGTGTAACATTTTTGTGAATGTTTGTCTAAATCTAATCTATTTTTAGTTAGTTCTAAGCTGTTTTATTCCTTAAGGTATTGTTCGAGACTTATGGTCGCACCAGATGAGTTGGGATGGACTTGTAACTCATAGAGTATTTTCAGATAAGGTACACCGTCTGCTCGTCACGCTATCTTATTTTCGGCCGGATAGATTCGTGCAACTTCTTAGTCTAATACCGATCTTAATCTTACTCTTATGTCTCTTAGTCTCAATAGATCTAGAGTATACTGGTTTGTTACGAGTTGGTCTCTTGGAAAAGGCAACTAAGTTGTAAGTTAAATTCAGAATGCTCTGGAGCTGAATTTACAAGTAATTTCAGCACTTACAAATAAATGGGTTTTTAGTTAGATGGAGTATGATTGGTTAGTCTTCAATATTTTATAGGGATAAAATATCTAATTTATAACCAATAATAATATATAGTTTGGATCAGGTTCCAGTTGAAACAGACAGAAACTATTAGAAAGCACAATCTGCCAGTTTTTGCATGCAATTTTGAGTTAGGTGACCTTGAGACACATTCTCTATCTGTAAAAAAAGGAACTTTGCATGCAAAATTTTCTGAAGTAGGTAGGGGTGGATTTTGAGTCATTTGCTTTGTTAAATGAATTCTGTCCGTTTCAACTTTTTACAACTTGTTATACTCTGGTTTTTGGCAGACAGAACAATAATCCCAGGTTATAAGAAAATATAAAGTATTAATGATTTTTGGGCAATTTTATTCTTATTTTTGTCAGAATTTTTTCTACTCACCCCTGCTTCCGAGCAATTTTACTCACAAATTCTAGCACAGATGAAAATGTGCATCTAGCAAGATAGTTTTTGATATACAATAGTTTATTTGAATATTATCTTCAATCTGAGTGCTTCATTCGCGCCGAATCATTGTATAAAAGTGTTTTCTATATGTAATCATTTGTTTTGCCAGGTTATGGTTACAGCATGTTTTGCTTATGAACGGCCGGATCAATCAAGTGAAAATAAATGCTTGCATTTAAAAACGCTCTTCGATTGTTTTTAGAAAGACTCGAATTACTTTTCAGAGACAATCCGCAAGGCGGGTCTGTTTCTGAAAAAGACATATATGTGCAAGAAACAGATAAAATAAGGGAGCTGGTTTCTTCTGTCCCAAGGGAGTTTCCTTAATCGCGTAAAAGCGTATCTATTCTAACCAATACAGTATGTACCATTGAAGCAGCAACTGCAGTGCTCAATAGTGGTGCTCTTCACTTTTGGGCCTAAGTAGACAAAAGTCTCAATGACAGTTTTTTTAGACTGCGGCCGTTTTCGAGAGTAATGATAAAATTTTTAACACCAAAACTAACATTTTTGATATCTAGAGTGGAACTTTTGACCATTCCAATGTTGGCTGCGGCAGCTGCAACGTCGCTTGTTTACTCGTACCTAGTAAATGCTCTAATTCAGATCTGAAAAAATCTTTTCCAGATCTAAATTTTAGATCTAAAATGGGTCGTGAAACGTTAAAATAGCACTTGGATATTTTAGAAACGGGTTATTTCAGATCTAATTTCACATCTGAAATTTTTGTTTTTCTTGGTTATTTCAGATCTGAAATAATCTATTTCAGATATAGTTTTAGATCTGAAATTTACCTTTTCTTGGTTATTTCAGATCTGAAAAATCAATGATTCTGACACATTTTTTGCTCTTTTGATACTTTTGTATTCGACAGCTTCTGCTAGCTACTAGCAGATACTCAGCAAAGTCTCCAATGAGAGACTGCCAAAATATGTTTCCCCAAATATGAGATAAACATTGGAAACGCATAAGTAGCACATGAAAATCAAAAAGTTGATAGATCTAACAGTTTTTGAAAACTTTTTATCACAGTTGAACAAAAATTTATTCGAAAAAATAAGCAGTTTGTGAAATTATTCGGAAGTTTTTGTGTCGCAGAAACATAATTGTGTGTTGCAGTAACAAAAAAAAATAAAAAAACTTAATTGTTTGCTCGAAATATATATATTATAATTTTACAAGGGGGATTGTCAGATCTAATTTCAATCTGAGTGCTTCATTCGCGCCGAGTCATCGTATAAAAGTATTTCTATCTTATATATTAAATGAAATACTTAATGCGCTTTGGACGCAACGTTTTAACTTTTCTATCGAGCACAACGTTTAAGAATCATTCAAAGCAACCATCAGAGAAAAATGAACTCGATCCAATTTCAAGGCTGGACAGTATTTGCCTATTTTTTTCCAAAAATTTGCGTTTACAGATTCATTTCAGTCTGAAGCGAATTAATTGAAAACAGCGAACCTCCATGCCGAGAAAATGTTTTAATTTTTATTTTTGCTCTTTTGATACTTTTGTATTCGATAGCTTCTGCTAGCTACTAGCAGATACTCAGCAAAGCCTCCAATGAAAGACTGCCAAAAAATGTTTGCCCAAACATGAGATAAACATTGGAAACGCATAAGTACCGCATGAAAATCAAAAGGTTGATAGGTCTAACAGTTTTAGTAAACTTTTTATCACAGTTGAACAAAAAATTTATTCGAAAAAAAAGTTTGTGAAATTATTCGGAGATTTTTTTTATGTTGCAGAAACATAATTTTGTGTTGCAGTAACATAAAAAACTAAAAAAAACTCAATTGTTTGCTCGATACTAAAATATTATAATTTTACAAAGGGTTTGTCAGATCTAATTTCTGATCTGAATTTCTATTTCAGATCCAAATTTCAGATCTCAAATTTTCAAATTCTTGTCAAGATATGAAATATAAAACTTCAGATCTGAGAATCAACTAATGTAAAAAATAAAGATTTTCAGATCTTGCTCAGAATATCCTCTTGGTATGGATATCTGCAACGTTGTTCGCGAGCTTCTTAGGCGATGCTTGCGTGCAGGTTGGTGTTAGCTGCGTACGCAAAGTCAGACAATGGCAGGTCAGCTGGTAATGACGACTTTCTGTTCTTACGCTGTCCATGATCCAGTCAAAAACTATATTGGAGAGGAGTTGCGGAAGTCTACCGTGTACAATAGTTTCAGTCTTGATAAAATTAATAGATATTTTTAGGAGAGTTATATATATAATCTTAGTTATTGAAACAGCTTGTACAGACAAACTCACCAAGGATCATGAAAACAAAGCGCTTAAATTTATCGGGCATGACCTTGAACCACCTGAGAGAAAATTGTAAAATAGCATCGAACTTGAAGCGCGAACAGAGAAGTCTATCACATTGGGTTGGTTTTCAGGATATAGGGAATAAAAGTTTTGTCAAGTTGCTTCAGCTGATTCTCGGTTAGTTGTTTCAAATTATCTGGTATCATATAGTTTAATTGCAGAAAAAATGGTAGAATTTAAGGAAAATACATTGTCATTATCGCTGCATGATTTCTTCTTAATTTCAAGTAGGGCAAACATTTTCTGTAGAAGCTCGAGTAATACGTCAGAGATTTCAGTGAAACCAAACAAAAATTGACTTTTAGTCGCTCGTCTTTCAGTCGCTCAACTACTTTTCGCGCCACCGTAATCGGACAAGACTTAAGTCGCGTACCTCGGCCCGAGTAGGATAAAATGCTCAAAGAGATTATCACGACGCAGCTGCGCTACAAGAAAATCGTCACCAATTTTGAGGAGTCAAAAAATCCGCGTTGAACATACAAGATTCGGAATACTTCATCTAACGGAAATCAAAATAATAGTGTGTTAATATCGAATCTCTAGAAAAATTGTGGGTATCTGTGATTTCTAATGTAAATAATAATTTCCTGTCGAGAGTGGAAGTTTCAAGCAATCTGAATAGTCGAAATTTCACAATGAGTTCATAAGCATCAATAAATCTCAGATTTATTGCTGTTAATATCACGTTTATTGCTCGGTATCTGAAAAAACTTGCAACAATTTTCACTCTAGATAGAAAAAATGTTAACTTTTTGATGACCCAAATTTTAACTTCTCAATTATTACATTTACCGTTAAAACCCCAATTCATTTTATTATGTTAAGAGAAAATTTTACTCTCTTGAAAAAAAAAGACCATCGAGTCACATATTCTATCCGAAATTTCAAAGCTTTTACTAATCGTCCCCAGAGGAACACAGTATAGCGCTCAAATTTAACGACAATTTCCTATCTAGTGACAATTCGACCCTCTTATACAACTCCGACTTAGTTTTACCAACAAATCCATCTCCTCTGATTCCCGGAAATCACTGCGCAAAAACTGGTTTCAAATAATGACAACGACGACAAAATCATATGTACATACACACATACAAACACACATACACATATACATACACATATACGAAAACACATACATAAATATGTGGTAGCCATCCAGGCATACAATCCAGCGACTAATATAGCTCTGATCCATCGAATAAATTTTCAGCCAAGCGAGAGCTTGATTGTCTACGCGTAATTGAAAGGGACCACCCCCTAAGTAGGCTTTGTATTTTTCCACAAAACTAAATACTGCGAACATCTCCGCTTTCTGTGAACCATGTTTCATCTCGGTGTCGCTTAGAACTTTGCTCCCATAAGCTATGGGTCGGAGAACAGTCCTCCCATTCTATTCTTGTTCCTACCCGAAATAGCAATTAATGATGCGTCCGTGTCCAGTACAAACATTCTTTTCTCGGTCGGCATGCCGAGGACTTGAGCCTCACAAATTTTGCGTTTGATGTTCCCAAAAGAGACTTGACCCTCGTCAGTCCAGCTGAACAACTTGCCCTTATTTCGCATGAATTGCTGCATAGGGTATATCTACTTGGCATACCCTTTGATGAATTCTGGGTTGTAATTAGCGAAGCCGAAAAAGCTCATCAATTGTGTACCGAGCTACGGCGCCTTCCATGTCAGCACTGCTTCAACCGCTTAAGGGTCTGGTCTGATTCCGTGCTTATCTGCAAAGCGACACAGACACTTTATTGAGTCCCTCAGGATCTCGCATTGGGCATCATACAAATCAGGCCTGCCTGTTCACAACGTCCTCAACGAAGCGCAATATGAGGTTTCAATACTTCTTTGTTACATTCCTGAGTGTGTGGGTTATCAATCTTTGAAATAAAGCTGTCGCGTTGCATTGTCCAAATGGTATTTTTTCACTGGAACAGCCCCAGCTCACACGCAAAGCATGTTTTTTCTCGGTCCTGTTTCCTGAGGGCCACTTGCCAGAACGCAGAGGCCAAATCCAACGTCGTGAAGAACTTTGCGTCTCCCAGCTTCGAGAGACTTTCGTCGATGCGAGGGATCGGGTATGCATCTTTTATCGTTACAGTGTTCAAATAGCGGAAATTGCAACAAAACCTAAATAGTCCTCCTTTTTTTGACAATGACTACGCCACAGGCCCAAGGGGACTTTGATGGTTCAACCAAATCATATTCCATCAACATCTCATTTTCTTTCCTACATGCCTCCGATTTGAGTGGGATCATTCTCCCAGCTCCTTCCCTGTGAGTGCCGAGCCCTCCTCTATCTCTCTTTCTAGCTCTACGAAACAACCTATGTCTGCTTTGAGGTTTAAAAAAACATCTGCGTTCCGATTCAACACTTCCCTAAGAGATCCCGAACTTTTATCTGATATTTTGCCTTTCAGGTGCTCTATCTCAGGTAGGACTAGTTTATTTGCCGCTAATTCTGTGTCTGTCGGTCTCTCAGGGAAATTCGAACTACTAGACAGACAGCCCATTGTCTGTATCTGACTTCATAGAAAACATTTTCTCAAAATCAATTCATTACTTCAGTTCATTTATTCACTTCAATGTACTTTCCTTGATGGAATATAATTGACACTCAGTCACTTAAATTCTCCCAAGTTCTCTAGACTCTAATGGTCTGTGTTCAAAGACAACGCATAGCCAAGCTTTTTTCCACGTTGTATCGTCACCGATATTGCCTCTGTGTTCAACAACACTTTAACACATAGTCCGTTCTGAGTTAGTGAG